AACAGAACCTGCCCCCAGCCACTGGGTAGAGACGGCTGGGTCGGCATGGTCTCCTGCCAGCTCAGGACAGTTGGGGGTGACCGTGAGCAGGTGGGAGTCCTTGGAGGTGGTCCTGAGTGGTGTCAGTCACATGTTTCCGACCTAGCTCTGATGTGATGAATCGGAAGCTCCTCTGCAAGTGCTGAATGAGAACGTGAGCGAGGCCAGCCTCGGAGGACTTCAATAAAGATCTGTAACAGCAAGAGGGAGCATTCTCCTTCCTCAGCACATGATGGCAGCAACTAGGGGAAGGGCCAGGTCGGCATTTGGGCCTTGGGAACATTAAGACGGGCACTGAAACAAGGAACAAGGTCCTCTGAGACCTGGCCGCACCGCATACTGCCAGTCGAGGTAGCTGGCTATCCACAGCACAGAAGGTCGTGAGCCAGAAATCCTTTCTTGTCACTTTCGCAAGGGTTTCCCAAACTCTTGATTGTCTCTGATGGGCTGATGACCTGGGGAACAGCTGCTATGCCAGAACAATGGACTTCTAGCAAGAGCCAAAGTTTCACCTAAGAAGATCTGGAAACATGTGCTTGTCAGAGATTTGATCATTTCACCAAGGAGTCTATGCTGTGATTTGAGAGAGCGAGAAAATGAACGGCTCAGGTGAAACCGTAAACCTTGGTATTCGTAAGAAAATGTGTGTGACACAGGCGTAGAGCAATTGGAGGATCCTTTCATTTCCTATAAAAATGGGAAATACGGAACGATATATGGGATTTCAAGTTAGGAGATTGTATCAGGCAAAGAGAATTTGAGATGTTAGCTCCTGGAATTTCCCAGGTGCCCCAGAAACAGGGCTAAGGCCTGGAATATGGAAGCCCTAATATATATAAGAGGTGGTAGAGGAGCGGTACATGTCCAAAAATTAGAAGTGAAGTAAGCGATCAGAAGTGACTTCTCTGTGGGGGTTATATGAAACTTAGAGACCACAGGCCACTACCCGCATCTGTAGGCCGTGGTTTCCTAATCCTGATTCCAGAAAGAGGCAAGATGTGGTTGAAATAAAAGTGTGTTTCAGTTGTCTGAGCCTTTACTAGAATGCTCTGCTAAAAGAGTGCATTTGGTAAATTTTTGATGTGTTGATAATTTCATCTCTGAGATGCTGAATGAAAAATGACAGTAGACTATCTAGATATACTTCTCTCCTAGAAGGAAAAATGTATCCTTTACAGAGTTCACAGTTCCAGGTTGAAAGGTATTAAGACTGACAGTGGGCAATGGTGTGAAAACAAGAAGAGAAAAAGCTGTGCCCAGATGCTAGCAGAGAGAGCCTGGGTAAGCAGAGAACTTGGCTCCAAGGCAGGATGGAGTCCAGCTCTGGACTCTGGGAGGCTTAGCTTGAATGAGGCGCACCCTGCAAAAAGTTTAGAAGACCCTGGGTAGGATTTCATGGCCAGAAACTAGAAGGGACCATGGAGTAAGAGAGACAGAGCCTTCCGAAAGGCAGTTCAGTCACGTGGTCACATGACTGACATGAGAACAAATCACTGGGGTGCCTCAGAGGCCCTGGACCAGTGATGGAACTCTCTCCCAACTGGGAGACACTGGTAAGAACTGGAACTTGCAGGAAGGTGGAAGCCATGGAAGCTGAGGTTTTCCAACTAGGGCCAGTCAGTACTTAGAAATTGTGTTTGGAGGGCAAAGGTTAAGAAAGGGGCATAAACTATGGAAAGAGCCCAGATGTCCGACAGATGAGTGGATAAAGAAGATGTGGTATATATACACAATGGAATACTACTCAGCCATCAAAAAGAATGAAATCTTGCCATTTGCAACAACGTGGATGAAACTAGAGGGGATTATGCTGAGTGAAGTAAGTCAATCAGAGAAAGACAATTATCATACGATCTCACTCATATGTGGAATTTAAGAAAACAGAGGATCATAGGGGAAGAGAGGAAAAAAATAAAACAAGATGAAATCAGAGAGGGAAACAAACCATAAGAGACTCTTAATCACAGAAAACAAACAGGCTTGCTGGAGGGGAGGATGGGGTAACTGCGTGATGGACATGAAGGAGGGCACATGATGTGATGAGCACTGGGTGTTATATAAGACCGATGAATCACTGAACTCAACCTCTGAAACTAATAATACACTATATGTTAATTGAATTTAAATAAAAAATGTCTAAAAAACAAAGAGGCATGATGTAAAGACAACAGCTGACAAGACATTGCAGGACACCACTGTGGAGGGATTGGCAAAGACACGACCTGGACATGATGGGGACCTTCCGTAAACATGGTCTCATCAGGTTCCGTTTCTGTAGTCCAGGATCAGGCTTTTCCTTTTGGATCTGCTGAGCTCCAAGCCATTGCTGGCCTGTCAGGGTCACATCTAACACTTAGAAGTTCTGCTCTGAATATATCAAACCACGGTCCGTGCCTGTTACAAGGCAGCGCCGTGTGCCATTGGCTAAGGCTGTAGCATCAGCTTTGCTCGGCCTACAGGTAACAAATGCAGATTCCTGGTTGTCCCCGCCTTCCTTCTGTCCCCAACCAATTCAGAATACCTAAGCGTGGATGGAGCTCCAGGAATCTGTATTTCAAACATGGTCCTTAGATGATTCTATCCCAAAATAGAGCTTCTGAACCACGGAGCTACGTAGTCTGCCCCCGCCTCTTCTTGCTCAAGGCCCCCATGAATATGTGGCTTACAGCCTGAATATTTCTTTTTGTCTACCACAGCTGGGCTGCAACTTAACTTAATGGGACAGCAGACAAGATTTCCTATGGAACAAAGCCTTAAAAAAAAAAAAGTCATAACTTTTCTAATGGTTAGATTTGCAGTGATTCTCAATTCTACACATTAGAAAAATACAAATGCCCAGGCCCCACCCCAGACCAATTAAGTCAGGATGTCCGGGGTAGGACCCAGGCCTTTTTTTTTTTTTTCCTGTTTTGTTTTGCCTTCATCTTTCTCAGCGGTTCTGATGTAAGGCCAGGGTGGAGAACCACCCCTGTTTAAACATTAGAAAAGTATAACATTTCTTCAAAGGCTCAATTCTCCATGATACCTTTAAATCAACAAATAACTCCTTTTCATTTCCTCTCCATCAAAGATAGCTCTTAGAAAGGATGAAACAAATCTGGCTAAAAGAGAGCACTATATATGTAGCTGTACAAAATAGATTTATGTCTTTTGGCCCCAAAAACTTGCTTTCAGGGCACTGCAAAGATTTGCAGATAGAACTGAATAGCCGTAAGTTCTTACAGAGAATGAGAAAGGAGAGTGCCCAAAGACAGGAATCAAGGAAATGTCAGCCCACTTGTCCAGACGGTGACTCATGGACAATACAAGCCAATAAGTTTGAGTCTGTTTCCTGGAAAAATTATAGAATGCTTAATTAAAAGGACAGTTTGTGCGACTTTAATAAAGGAATCAGTGGGAAGAGTAGACCGTTCCTATTTGGGTAGATCAGGGGGTGCTGGAGATGGAGGTTATCTCTACATCTGACAAGATCACACAAAATCACCTTACATTCCATGATGAAGTGTGGACTGAGTTATTACTCAGTTTATGTGAATTTACAGCTGCTTGAACACATCCAAAGGGACCTCTAGTCTTTCTAGTACTCAGATTCTTTGAAAGCTATAGTTGTGAAACTTTTTATTACGAAAATGAATTTATGTAAAGAATTTTATCCAAAGTGATGTTATACTCTAATCAAGGAATGTGTATATATATATATATATATATATATATATATTCCTCTTCATCAAAGATCGTGTCCTCAGAATTAGGATGAAACAAATATGGTTAAAAGAGAACACTATGTAGATTCCTGTAGAAAATATATTTATTAATTTTCTTGGCCACACAGAGATGCGCACAGACACATGTATATATATATTGGGGGTGGTGGGGGGCTTGGAATAGCCCAACACACAATCTTCCACATTACAACTTGAAAACCTCACCCTCTCCCTGTAAGGCTGTGCAATAATATGTAACAGACCTTGGCTTATTGGGCTCTTAGTGCAACTTCAGCTGTTGTTGTTCAGCTTTAATTCTGGTGACTCACACAGATAATAGAGAACCGTCTTAGCAAGAGCTGAACAGTGTTTCTCCCCCCGTAGATTTCCAGGGCCCAGCCTGCTGTTGTGCCATGTGCGTCTGTGTTCTCGGTCTGCACAAGCTCACCTCCTCCTAATGACACACAGGTTCTGAGCATATTCTGCAGACTTAGCTGAAGACTCCCATTTTGGAGATGTTTGCTTTCCAAAGAATCTCCTGTTTTAAAAATAATAAAAATAGGGGCGCCTGGGTGGCTCAGTTGGTTAAGCAACTGCCTTCGGCTCAGGTCATGATCCTGGAGTCCCGGGATTGAGTCCCGCGTCGGGCTCCCTGCTCAGCGGGGAGTCTGCTTCTCCCTCTGACCCTCCCCGCTCTCATGCTCTCTCTCTCATTCTCTCTTTAATAAATAAATAAATAAAATCTTTAAATAATAATAATAATAACATTTTCATCACTACTAAGTAGCCCTATTTTCCAATCACATAAATTTTCTGGAATATTTTTTTTTTTTTTAAGATTTTATTTATTTATTTGAGACAGAGAGAATGAGAGGGAGGAGGGTCAGAGGGAGAAGCAGACTCCCCGCCGAGCAGGGAGCCCGATGCGGGACTCGATCCCGGGACTCCAGGATCATGACCTGAGCCGAAGGCAGTCGCTTAACCAACTGAGCCACCCAGGCGCCCAGGGTTTTTTGTTTGTTTGTTTATTTATTTATTTATTTATTTATTTATTTATTAAGATTTTATTTATTTGAGAGAGAGAGAGAATGAGAGAGAGAACACGAGAGGGGAGAGGGTCAGAGGGAGAAGCAGACTCCCTGCTGAGCAGGGAGCCAGATGTGGGGCTCGATCCTGGGACTCCAGGATCATGACCTGAGCCGAAGGCAGTCGCTTAACCAACTGAGCCACCCAGGCGCCCCAATTTTCTGGAATATTTTTGAAGAAACCAGATTTATTGAAGGGCTGCTGGGTCCTTCAAAAATGCCTTTACCTCAGACGTAGACAAAGTTCAATGAATTCTCTGAGTACAAATCAGAGTAAGAAGGTAAAGTTGAGTCCGAAAGTGGGTTCATGGGACTACGGGTTCAGCTGTATCTAACAGAAACCTACAGTATCAATGACTGAAACAATATCAAAGTTTATTTCTCTTACCTAACAGTTTGAAGGTCTGCTGCCTAGGATTAGTGAGGTGATTCCACGGTGTCATGGACCCAGGCCCCTCTCGTCTTACTGCTTCATCATCTTCAGCAGGTGGGCCCTCACCCGCGGGGTCCAGATGGCTCCCAGCAGCCACCATCCTCAGGCCAAGCAGGAGAGGTAGGGTATGCCCTCCCCAGAAGCTGCACCTCACATTTACACACGCACACACGCACACGCACACACACACACCAGCCACGAAGAAGGCTGGGAAATGTCTTTATTTTGGGTAACCAGCAAAAATTGAGATTCTATTAAGAGAGGAAGAGAGCAGACACTGGAGAACAACAAGTAGTCTCTCCAGAATATTCCTGGAAAATACAACATTTAAGAAGGGGGAGTGGGTGACTCAGGGAGGGAGGAATCATTATCTCATGCAAAGAACGACAGACATCTGGCTTCGAGTATCGAAGTCACCATCAAAAAGCCTTGTGCTCTCCCTGGCCTTCCTTTAGAGGGCATCACCCCTCTACCACTCACCCTGCGGCTGCCCCTCCCGGGGACCTGGGCCCTGGTGTGTGAGGTGGCCTTGAAGGGGAGCAGAGTCACTAACCGACACCCAATCAGAGCCGGCCCACAACCTCTTTCGGTCATCACAAGAACCACAAACAAAATTCTGGGCGGGAAGTAATGGGCAGAAACTAGAGGAAGAAGATGCTCTGAGGCACAAAGCTGATTAAAAGGAGAAACCCGGGGTGCCTGGGTGGCTCAGATGGTTAAGCGTCTGCCTTCGGCTCAGGTCATGATCCCAGGGTCCTGGGATCGAGTCCCGCATCGGGCTCCCTGCTCGGCAGGGAGCCTGCTTCTCTCTCTCTCTCTGTCTCTCATGAATAAATAAATAAAATCTTAAAAAAAAAAAATTAAAAAAAAATAAAAGGAGAAACCCGTTTTTACAGGCACCTCTGCCCTAACCGCATATTCTGCGATCCTATCCTTCCATGCATCCTTTGGCCCCAAAGCATTTTCAATCAGTGGCTGGTCGCTTTGCTGTACCTTTACATGTAGCATGCTCTTTCCTTAGTGCCCCTCCCTTTCGTTCCTCCAGCTGCGGAGAACAGTTTTCTGGAGCATTTGAGCAAACCCACATACGTTCGGTCCCCTCCCCCACTCGACTTTTTTAAACAAAGAGAATGCTGCTTTCTATTACAAAAAAAAAAAAAAAGCTGGAGACAATTCTGTCCTTTAGGTCCACAGGGCGGATCTCGGGTCGCACGTTCTTCTACCTCTGTGGCACTTTAATTAGTTGAAGCAGGAGCTCTGTGCCAAGAAATCGCAGCATATCGCAGTCGCGATGTGCAGAACGGATTTTTTCCCCCTTAACTAATGCTCTTTCAAACTGACTGCCACTTGCAGTTTGGAAACTGGCAGCGCATGGTCCTCGGGCCTTTCCAGGTGTTAGCGTCCCCCGTGGGCAGCCGGTCCCTGCAGGTGACAGGAGAGCCCTGTATTTGAAGTGCTGTGTGCCTTACAGAGCACCTCCCGTGCATTGTCTCCTGTCCGCCGGCCCGCAGGCTCACCCTGATGGTGAAGAAGAACCCCCCCCAGCCCAGCCCCCCCGTTTTGGTGATGCAAAAACCGAGCTAGGAATGGTTACGTGACAGAGAAGGAACTAAAACTGGGTCCGATCTGTGTTGCTAATGTAAGATGTTCAAGAACTGTCCGTGGTTAAAAGAGAATGAGTGTCTATTTTTAACAATGTTCTTTTCTTCCTGCCACAGTCCTGAGATTGCCCTCGACTTTGATTTGATAGAACTCTTTTTCACAATCCTCTATGTCAGGCTTTGAAATTCCATTCTGCCTCTGGGTCTTGTTTTGCCCTGAGGTAAGGATGGCAAGCAGGGATCTTTCTTATATAATCTCCGGGTCTTATATTTGAGTTCTCTACCTGAAAATGTTTAAAGTCACTTCGAATCTACCACAGTAAAGGAAAACAAGTCTCTCATTTCTGCTATTTAATAATTAGATATTTAAGATTTAAGGAACTATATCTAAATTTTGCTTATCCAGAAGCCTTCTGAATATTTCATTTCTAGTGGAAATGCTGCATGTTTTTAGGCAACTTTATGCCTTACAAAAGAACTTGAAAAGGAATTTTTTAAATTCTATAAGGGTAGCCAGAACTGTTTTTTGTTGGAAGAAGGTAGTTTGCACAGAAAGTAGTTCTCAGTTTATAAGACTGCCAGAAAATGGATTTTATATTGAAAATAGCTAAGAGCACAATCATTGTTTAAAGGATTCTTCAAGATGGGAGCAAATGTTCAGTATTTTTAACATGTATTGACATGTATCTGGATGAGCTCTTTTAAAGAAAAACCACAAGTTTTATAAAATCTAAAATCTAAGAGACTTTAAAACGGTGTCATTTATAATGTAAAATTAAGGCAGTTGAAATTCAGTGCTTGACTCATAGCTCCCACATCCATCTTCAGTTCTCTTTAGCTCATATGGTTTTCTTTAAAAATTAGTGATATCAGCTAAGTGGGACTATTTCCCACTCCTACCCACAGAGAAAAGTGCTTTTTGTGAACATGTCAGCTCCGTTCCATCATTATATGCCATCATGGAGTACAACAGAAGCAGGCCGGCTGTTCGCACTCAAGCACCAATATTAGTACAGTGTCAGGAGCCGAATCCAAGTCAGACAACCCTAAAGTTTCCACCCATTTACTTTATGCACATCAGCCACCTTTTCTTTTTAAGAAATTTTATGTCTAGACTAGAGCTTTGAAGTCTTCCAATCTAGCTTCTTTATATTATGGACAAGAGGAAACTGAGGCACAGAGAGGTCCAGCAACTTGCCCAACATCACACAGCTCCTAGCTGAGCCTAGAACCCAGGTCTGTGTGACTCCAAAGCCTTTGTTCCTTCTTGCTGCGTTGCTTCATAGAGCAGAGATGATTTGGTCCATGCCCTCTCCATGCCTTTTCCTGCATAGCTGCCTTCGCCTGGTGTCATGCTAAGTGGGAGGCAATCTCACAAACTTCCAGAAGCCCTCCAGATATGGGAAGCCAGCTACCGCATCCCTCCTTCAATCTCAGCTCCACTCTTTGCAGACAATGTAGATTTCTCCAGACTAAGCAGTTCCAGCACTCCTCCCTGTGATGTGCTCTCAGTACCCTCTTCCGAACACAGTCCAGCTGTCAGTGCCTCTTTTATTAAAATGGGACCCAAAGTGGGACTCCTCCAACCTGTTTCTCACCATTGCACTCCCAATGTCCATCAGTCCCACTGCTGTCCTGCTTGTCTCCCAGGCCCCCCAGTTCAGCCGTCTTTGCCTTTCCTCCTTCCCTCCCAACTCCCAGCATCCAAGCAATTTCTGTCACAGCTCACCCTCTTTCTACTCCCACGACTCAATATTTTTTACTTGATTGTGAACCTAGTCCCTTAACTGGTTTCCTTGCCCCAAGTCCCTCCAGAAATGCTTTCCTAAACTGCAATAGCTATACAAGCTTTAATCGCTATTGTTGTCAGTCCCCGACAAAGGAGCTACCAGTCCTGGATTCTGCTTTTGCCGTACCTCTGCTAGTTCTGTGGCTTTAGGTACATGATCTGTACCTCCGGCCCCAGTTTCTCCTCCTTCAAAATGAAGACGTTCAACAGGACAGTCTCTAAAGAGATGCCTCCAATTCTAAACTGTTGTGTCTCCCCACACTGATCTGCCCACCAGACTGCTTCCAAAGAAATCTTCCTAAAACACTGATTTTTTTTTTTTCCCTGCAAAATCCTTCAGTTGTCCCTCTTCACATAAATCCCAATCTCCATAGCCTGGCACTAAGGACCTACAGATTGGTACTGTACCTCCCCCCCCACACACCTTATTGTTCCATGCTCTTCACAAGCCCAAACTCAAGCTAAACTCAGCCACTCACTTTGGGTCACACGTGTGCCAAGTTTCCCACCTCTTTGCTCCTGCAGCACCAAATGCTGTCTGCCTTGTGCTGTAAGGAGAATACGTGTCATGTCTTTGTAAGCTTCAAAGCAGGGGCTACACCTTCCTCATCCTTGTCTCTCACACAACACTGAACACTTAGTAGGCACTGAGTAAGTAGTTGGTGAGTAAAGTTATTCAGCCCAAAATTGCACTAACATTTTTTGGCCATCATATCATAGTCTTGACTCATCCTGGGCTTCCAGTCAAATAAAATCCTCAAGCCTTTTAAAAATATAATCTTTGATTAAGTGAATTTTCTTCCATTCTTTCCTTTTGCCCACTTTTGAACTGATATTCAGAACTTCATCTATTAAAGTTAAATTTTCATCCATTGTTCTTATCTCTACAGATGTTTTTGGTTCTTGATTCTCTAATCTAGTTTATTGGTTTCCCATGACGTTATCCACAGGTGCAATGGGCATGCTGACCGTTCCACTGAAGTTGCCAATAGTCATGTTGAACAGGAAAAAGACCGGTAGCTTGGCACCTCATGCTCTGGCTTGACAATGACCTCTTACCTAGCAGTTTGGGGATATGGTTACTTAACCACATATGACTACCTGCTCATTTTATTGTAATTCATTGTGTATATAGACAATGAAGAATAATCTATACATTCATTCAACTCATTTATTAAGAACCAATCAGGGGGCGCCTGGGCTCTCAGTTAAGCGTCTGCCTTCGGCTCTGGTCGTGATCTCAGGGTCCTGGGATCGAGCCCCGCATTGGGCTTCCCTCTCAGTGGGGAGTCTGCTTCTCTCTCTCTCTCCTTCTGCCCCTCCCCCCACACTCGTTTTCTCTCTCTCTCTCTCTCAAATAAATAAATACAATCTTAAAAAAAAAAAAAAGACCCAATCAGGTATAAGGCGGTGTGTAAGGTTTTGTGTAATATAAAACAATGATTAAGATTTGGCCCCTGTCTTCTTTGAACTGCAAAGAGCAAGTAGGACTCATACACAGACCAATGTAGTTCAAGGTAGGATGGAGTTGGGTCAAAGGGCTTAGAGAGTCAAAGGAAGGAAAGGCACATTCCCTGCTCAGCGGGGAGCCTGCTTCTCCCTTTACCCCTCCCCCAGCTTGTGCTCTGTCTTGCTCACGCTCACTTTCTCTCAAATAAATAAATAAAATCTTTTAAAAAGAAAAAAAAAAAAAGAAAAGAGGTACAGGACACTGGCCCACTGGAAACCGT